ATCCCATTGACAAGAGCCCGGTGGGCTATATAGTCCATGGGGTCACAAACCGTCGGACACAACTAAAGCAACTTGGCATTTCCAGTCTTATGTCGTGATTAATCCTGAGAATTTTTCTATCCTGATTATTTTTGTACAAGTTACTAATAGTGCATGCACTGTGCTGAAGAGCATCCCCCCAAAATTCATGTCCACCTGGAACCTGTGAGTATGACCTTATCTGGAATTAGGGTCCTTGCAGTTGTAATCAAGTCACACCGGATTAGGATGGGCCCCAAATCCAGTGCCTGGCATCCTTATAAGAAAAGGGGAATTTGGATTCAGAAACACACGGAGAGCAGGCCATGTGATGACTGAGGCAGAGACTAGAGAGATGGGGACAAGGAGTCGCAAGAATTCTTCCCCAGAGCCTTCCAAGCCAGCATGGCCCTACAGACAGCTTGCCTGCCATCCTCCAGAACTGTGAGAACTAAACGCCTGTTGTTTCAGCCACCTAGTTTGCAGCATTAGCTCTAAGAAACTAATACAACCCTTAAACGCTTTTTTTCCTAAGAACCTAGAGTACATGCCCGGTAGGAATATAAGGATTTGAAGGGGAGAAAATGAAGAAAACAAATTAAATTCCAAATATGTTGTCTGTTAAGCTTTTTTGTTTAAAACCTATGGCTCTCCTATACATGCTGGGCAGTGACAAGTAACAAATAAGTGAACAATGTTAAGAGGGAAAAAACTCATGGAGGCATCCAGTTGCATTTAGTTTAACAGATTGTTTTCCTATGGGTAAACAGGCTTTTGATATTTTATTGCATACATTATGAGAGTCTGATTTTTCCACAGTCTTGAGCAAGACTGCTGTCCCACTCTGCACAGAGGAGACTGGCTCTTTCCTTACCTCCCATTGAGCGAGGGGCTTGCCGAGAGCTGGAGTCAAAACCCACAAGTTCTTCAGTTTGAAAAACTGGAATGTGAACTTTTTAGAGAACAGGCAAGATGATTTCAGACCTACTTTAAGACACAGAACTGGAAAGGTAATGTAATACCCCAAACTGATAATCAACTTGTGCTAGGCTTTTGCAAACCAGATGAAAACATTAGTTTATAATCTAAATACCTTGCAGAAATGAAACTACTGCTTCATGGTATCAATATTTTAAGATTTGGACAGCCAGTAATGTGGTGACTGGCGTCCACTTACAAAGGCCTTTGTCTGGGAGTCGGGGCGCTTCTCAGTTCTCACAGGACAGGCCTCACGGTCAGTGTGGTCTGGAGCTACATTCAGAGGCCAGTGTACGCAGATGCTACCAGGCTCAAGTATCCTTTCCTGCCGTGACAGCTCACTTTCACAGTAACTAGATCACAGGCTTGGGCCAGATTCAGCCCACAGGCTTGTTTTGTTTGCCTTCTAAGGTATCTTGTTTTTAATTAGTTGCTCACTTTAAAAAACTGGAAGATTTCATATGAAATCCCATACCACCAGTGGACGTGAATTTCTGCAGGGCAATCCGGTCTGCTAGAGACAAATCCGTCCAGTGCCCCACCATGCAGGCCCCTCGAGGAGCCCATGGCCATACCACACAGATGCCCAGCAAGACTTGCCGGGTCCCACTATGCACTGTGTGACCTTGAGTGCGTGATTTCTCTTCACTGACCCTTTGCTTCCTCTTATGCAAAATGGGTGTAGTAATAGCACCTATCTCATTAGACTGTTTGAAAGATTAAGAGAGGTAAAACATGTAAAGCACTTAAAGTGCGTGGTACGCAGTGGAAGCTCCATACATGTTTGTTGTTACTCTTTTCACTGTCTCCTATTTCACTTTTCCCACTTTGATCACTCACCTGGCCCTATTGGTCTTGTGTTTCTGACGTGGGCTCTAGGTAAAGCCCCATCCTCAGTTGGATGTAGAGACAGCTAGTCTCTTGTGTGCTAGACCGTGGGAGTTATAGGCAGTGCACGGAATAAGAGCCCAGGTTCTAAAGCCAGACAGCCTGACGTCCAGTCCCACCTCTACTGCTGCTCAGCAATGTGCTCTTGCACAAATTATAATATTTAATTCTCTAAAGCCTGTGTCTACTTAATTCTATAAAACAGTAAAAGAACTGCTGCGAATTAATGTGCCCAGCACATAGTAGGTTTTAGCTTTTATTATTAAGAACACTCAGCAGACCACAGCATTCTGCCACCAGCAAACCCAGGCCTGGCCCACCTCAGTTTCTCTCATCAGGGTCCAGGGGCTTCCAGGTCTGAGGGAGATATGAATTAGGAGAAAACCAGGTATAACTTGGAGCTACTTATTATTAACTCCTTATCACCCTTTTATCATGTTATCCCCAAATATTTATCCCAGGTAGCATTAAAACTTGCATGGCTCTGAGATTAAAAACATTTCCTCTAAGATGGAAGCAAATTTTTTCCTACCATTTCAAATAGTAAAAGCATCTAAGCATATGAAAAAGATGAAGGCATTCAAGTTTTTAAAGTTTTCCAAAATAATTCCCTCAAGCCCTGACAGTCTTCTCATATGATTGCCTTCACAGTGGGACATCCACCCACAGCTTGAATTCTCTCCAAATCTTATCAGAAGTTTAAAAATAACTTTTGAAATAATGCTTTAGACAGTCACATTAAAAAGTTCCTGAGAACAAATGACCTCAACAGTATTTCTTAAAGAATGCTACCTACTATTCAACTTGTTTTAGGCTTCATGATTCTAAAATTTTTCATTTTTTTAAAAAAAGCAGCAAAGTGTTTCTTCTATTCTAGACACAAAAGAAATAGACAGTTGCAAACATCAAAAAGTTGACTCAATAGAAAAGCCCTCCTTATGAAATTATCGCCTGTAGAAAGTTTTCCAAATTTCAATGAAAATAAAGATTTAAAAAGAACTGACTGTTAAATTGATTTTAAAAATTAATCAAGTTCTGGGAATTCCCTGTAAGTCCAACAGTTAGGACTCGGCACTTTCACTGCTAGGGCCCAAGGTTCAATCCCTGGTTGAGGAACTAAGATCCCATTAGCTGTTCAGAAACCAGAAAATTTTAAAAATTAATCAAGTCCTGTATAAGAAGGTCACGGCAGCATTAGTCTTAAACATAAAAAAAAAAAAAAAAAAAAATTCAGCAGTAGATGGGTAAATTACCTATGGTAAATTCCTACAATAAAATACTACACAGCAATGAAAAAGAATAAACCACTACTATATGCAACAATACAAGTGAATTTTTCAAACATGTTAAGCAAAAGAAGCAAATCTCAGAATGCTAGTTATCTTTGAGAGAGATGATCTGGGAGGGAACATGAAATTTTTAAAACGCTTTGTATCTTCAGCTGGGTAGTGTTTACATAAGGGTTATTCATATGTAAAATCTTATTGAACTGTACATTTAAGCTTATTGGACTTTACCATATTTATACCTCAATTAAAAAGTAAATTAAAAGAAACTGTTAGTCTTTGGTTGTGGATTTTTGAAACTACATGAGACTCCATTATAGACTCTGTGAAAGTTTGTCACAGAAAAAAAAAGTTATTGTAACATATTTATATTTTACATTGTCACTCAGATTCTTTAGAGTAATAACCTTTATTTTATTCATTAAATAGCATTTTTGTTATTGTTTGTTTTTCAGGAAAATTCAAAAATCTTTTGATATACTTAAACCAAACAACCTATATCAGTGTTTAGACAGCCCTAGGAGCTTCACGTGTATGCCATTTCACAACACCAAGTTCTTTTTTCATTATGTGAACTGCCTAGGGCTGTAGTGAGTAGAAAATGACCTTGAAGTGGTCCAATCTGGATCAAAATCCCTATTGTACCAGTCATCAGGAAGAGGACCTGGCAAATCACTCCATCTCCATCTCCCTGAATCCATCTCTTCTGCAAAATGGAGATGGTGCCTCCCTTGCACCGTTAGTGAGAGTATTGGTTGGGATAAATTATGTAAAACTTCTGGTACACAATTTTTAGATGGAAACTGTCACTAAATGGAAGTGAGCCCTTTATCTAAGTTTATATTTTAAAAATATAGATGTGCTTTGTATAGAACAGACCTTTGGACTCTGTGGGAGAAGGTGAGGGTGGGATGTTTCAAGAAAACAGCATCGAAACATGTATATTATCTAGGGTGAAACAGATCACCAGCCCAGGTTGGATGCATGAGACAACTGCTCGGGCCTGGTGCACTGGGAAGACCCAGAGGGATCGGGTGGAGAGGGAGGTGGGAGGGGGGATCGGGATGGGGAATGCATGTAAATCCATGGCTGATTCATGTCAATGTATGACAAAAACCACTACAATATTGTAAAGTAATTAGTCTCCAACTAATAAAAATAAATGAAAAAAATATATAGATGTGCTTAAAAATGTAGACATGCTATATTTTAAAAATGGCACATGCTTCAAAATATCCAAGCCTCAAACATTTACATCTAAGAAATGTGGGAAAGGCCACAACTTGCCCGTATTTAGCAATAGTATAATCTTTGGCTCAGCCCTGACCCTACAGTGAGCGCTCATCCCTCCCCAGTTTTTTCTAGCACCTCCATCCTCTCTGTCTTTCTGGAGCAGAACACTCCCCCACTTCTCTCCTACAGACTTCCTTCCTGCCACCTGAATGTTCGGACCCCACCCAGGGACTAATGGGCTTCCCCAGTGATGCTATTGGTAAAGAACCTGCTTGCCAATACAGAAGTAAAAGACCTGGGTTCGATCCCTGGGTCAGGAAGACCCGCTGGAGAAGGAAATGGCAACCCACTCCAGTGTTCTTGCCTGGGGAATCCTATGGACAGAGAGCCTGGCGGGCTACAGTCAACGGGGTCGCAAAGAGTCGGACATGGCTGAAGGGACTTAGCATGGCACAGCAGGGACTAAAGCCTCTGTTTCTGCTCTCAAGAGCCAACTAAAGCAACCTTGGCAAAGGCGTATTTCTTGTAACCAATACCCCAAAGGTGATATTTTCTCAATATTTTTCCAAATAAAATACGACTCAGTTACAATTCGTGCACAATAAATAGCCAGCCATGAATATACGTCTCCACAGAGAAAATGAGATATAAAGGTAAACACAACTTGGAAAGTGTGCTGCTTGTTCATGGTTTGGTGTGAACAAAACTCCCGGCTGTCACCTCAGTAGCAAGCATGGGAAAGGAGGATTTGACCTGGAAAGTTTTTCTCCATGAAGTCAAATTTGCTCTGTTACTTCACTGGAAGAAGAGCATGTTTCTCCAAGGGAGAAGAGTCCTGTTGGCCTTGAGGATGAGACAGTTCTTCACTGTGCAGACTGAGAGGCTTAGTGTCCTGGCTCCATCCAGCGAGGGTATAAAGATGCCTTCAGGGATGCAGCACGGCTGGCAACCAACTCCACCTTGGACTGTCTTCCTGGGAGAGGGAAGGGTCACCCCTGGTAGATGGGAGCACAGAACATAGATTAAGGTCAGCTACAGAAAAATAAAACTACGTTTCTTACTCATGAGTTTGTGAATGAGCCGGGTACAGTAACGTCCTATGAGTAGAATTCAGGCTTGGGACAGGGGCTTCCATTACTAAGTGTGTGACTCCTCAGGGTGGGACTAGTCATATTGTGCACATTGTAGACTTGTAAATTTACTAAATGATTGTCTCCTTAATGGAACTATCTTGAGAGAGAGAGATGCCTGTTCCTAATTTGAACAATGATGCCATATGGACCAGACGTGGCCCTGCCACAGATTTTGAAGATCTTGGGCCTATGCTTTTATTTTATAGGTCATATAGCACTATGTATGATTTCCCCATTTCTCCTAAAGGTATAATGCAAACCTGTATGAGGGCTGGTAAGACAGCTGGTTGAAAAGAGGATGTACACTAAAAGGAAAATGAATCACACCTTTTAGTAAAATTGGATTTGTGATACAAAATTTGAAAAAAAAAAAAAAACAACAAAGACCATGGGGTTAGGACAGATGTCCCCAGTCCACTTCAGTCACTCAGTCGTGTCTGACTCTTTGCGATACCGTGCACTGCAGCACACCAAGCTTCCCTGTCCATCACCAACTCCAGAGCTTGCTCAAACTCGTGTCCATCTTACCCCAAATGATCTCAGTTCATGATCCCTTCCTGCCTCAATAATATTTACACTTTCCCCTAGATCTGAAAAAATACTCAGTAGTTGGTTCTGTTTATTACCAACAACTTAAGTATGTCTGTCCTGAAAACTCAGTAGCCCTTTAAAAAATAAACTGAAAAAAATTATTTTTGTATCATTCTTAAATAATCATACTGGCAGACGTGTACCTGTTTAGCAAGCTAAACATTTCAAACATTGGGAACAGATTGAGATTTGCCAACATCTCGTTTCATTTTTCACAAGGTACTTCCTTATCATCATGGAAACATCTAAAAACCTAGCTTTCCAAAGCTATGACATACCCTAAAGGAATGTAGCACAATATTGAAAAAAGTATGTGAAGTATCTCAAAATAGTAGTTTCACGGTGTCCACAGACATCATTTCAATTTCTATCAACATTATAAAGTCCCAGATTCTCTGTGCACAATTTAAAGCAAATGAAACCCTAGACACATTGAAATTAGCTATAGTACAGATGTTTATTATGGCCTAACAGCCATGGTTCTGGAGAACTAGAATTAAGTCTGAAATTACAGCACTCAAGAGCCTGTTCACTTCTTGGGCATTTGAGATAAAGTCTTCAAAAACATCTTGACAATTCTGAAGTGCTGTAACAGTGGTACCTGCAGAATTAGCTGGTGAACGGAACATCTGCTGGAGAGTAAGCTTTAAGAAGGCCAGGAGTTTTGATACTCATTGCCTAGAATAGTGCCCAGAATATAGTTGGTTTTTTATAAGAAGTTGATGCATGAATTCCTTATTGCCAAATTCAGACTTAAACTGAAGAAAGTAGGGGAAACCACTAGACCATTCAGGTATGACCTAAATCAAATCCCTTACGATTATACAGTGGAAATGAGAAATAGATTTAAGGGACTAGATCTGATAGACACAGTGCCTGATGAACTATGGATGGAGGTTTGTGACACTGTACAGGAGACAGGGATCAAGACCATCCCCAAGAAAGAGAAATGCAAAAAAGCAAAATGGTTGTCTGAGGAGGCCTTACAAATAGCTCTGAAAAGAAGAGAAGCAACAAGCAAAGGAGAAAAGGAAAGATATACCCATCTGAACGCAGAGTTCCAAAGAATAGCAAGGAGAGATAAGAAAGCCTTCCTCAGTGACCAGTGCAAAGAAATAGAGGAAAACAATAAAATGGGAAAGACTAGAGGTCTCTTCAAGAAAATTAGAGATACCAAGGGAACATTTCATGCAAAGATGGGCTCAATAAAGGACAGAAGTGGTATGGACCTAACAGAAGCAGAAGATATTAAGAAGAGGTGGCAAGAATACACAGAAGAACT